TCTTAATCAGTTAGCTAAGTAGGAAACTCAATTGTTGACCTTCCTGACATAAAACCAAATTAGTTTTCAAATACACTCGTTTCATGCCTTAGTCGTTGCTCAATCACTCTCTCCCAGAGCTTCATAGTATGGCTCATAAGCTTGATCCCTCAATAGTTTGTACAATTCTGTATGTCTTCTTTGTTCTTGTAAATAGGTACCACAATACTTTTCCTCCATTCATCTAGCATTTTCTTTGTTCTCAACACCTTATTGAACAGCTCCGTCTGTCAGTCAATGCTAATCTCACCCATGCACTTCCAAACCTCTATCGAGATACCATATGGTCCTAAAGCTTTTTCTATCTTCATCATTTTCAAAGCTTCTTTCACTTCCGACATCCTAATCCTATGAATGTATCTAAAACATGGACTGTTAATTTACTATGCTTGAATAATATAAAGCTAGATAAATATACAAATAAAGCACAAAACTCAAAACTAACAGTAATTTCATTGATAATTTTTATTCCACATAAATACAATGCAAAACCTCCTTACATTAATTGATACACAGGAGGGCAAGAGTTCTTAGAACAATTGTGACTTAGACCTAGATGTTGCAATCCAGGATAATGTAGTCCCGTTTGTATGTCTTCATTTTCTTATTTTGCGATAGACTCTGCATTAGCAAATGTCATCATTGTCTATTTTATATATATTATTTTGGTTCCAACCATAGTTACTGGGATCAACCTTCATGGGTAGAGTTCCGACTCTGGATTCTAGCTCTCGCGAGTTTTTTTTTATGGATCTCGATCCCCTCTCTTAGAGATCTCAATCCTTCAAGACGTCATTTTTATTGTACTAGGGATCTTGATTTTCTTATCTTAGGGTTCACGATTTTCTCATCTTTGGGATCTCAATCTAGAGACTAATAGGAGCCAGACTTTCAAGGCATCTTATATGAGTGGTATTGTTACACCAGACCGAGGTCCAGACAACAACGGATCAACATTCCATTAACATGGTTTGAGATTCAAAACCCAATGCATTGAATTTTCATTATCATCATCCAAGCCTTATCTCAATTATTTCAGGTTGGATACATGAATCCAGTTCCTCCATCTCTCTCTATTGGTTATACACTCAGTAAGACCAAAAGTCACCATATATTTTCTCACCACTTCTATCCATGTCCTTTTAGGACTTCCCCTTGTACTTTTCAAACCTTCTACTTGAACCAAAACACACCTCTTAATCAATGTTGTATTAGGTCTTCGCTGCACATGGCCAG